GAATTGAACCAGCGCCCATATGGGGTGCCGGCACTGCAGACGGTGGCTTTACCCAATACACCACAGCACCAGCACCTGTTTTATAATTTCTCATTGGATTTCCTCTCCACTAGTAGGATCCTGTTTCTGTTTCAGTCCAAACACCATAGTAACCAGCACAGACAATGCAAACCAGCACACTGGAGATACCTACTCCACCATTTTTCTTCGATAGATATGCTTATAACCTACACACCATTTCTATATGAATAGTGAGCAACTGACTCCTGAGTGTCAGATATTAGGCCAGGAGAGAGGTGGCCGTGGCTCTTAAGAGAGCCAGATGGTTATCTTGTGTTCATTGATGTGCCTGTTTATCCTTGTTTAGTATTTTGGTTATTATTACTGTGAATTCCCTGGGTGTTATCTTACTGCAATTTTGACAGATGCTTCCATGGGCAAAACTGAGTCTAAATATATAAATAATAAAGTCTAGGTTGCATGGGTCCCCCTGTAAAATTTCCCACAAATGCACGCTCATCTACAAGTACTTCACAGATTAAGGCTTAATTTAAATGTACAGATAAGGACAGGGGCTTGGCACAGTGGTAAGAAAACATCTGATATGCCTGTCTCCCATAGTGGACTCCCTGCATCTGAGCCCTACTCTGTTTCCAGCCTGGCTGCTTGGTAAGGCACACCCTGGGTCTTAGCAGGAACAGCTGAAGAAATGGGCTCTTCCCCCCACCCCCAGCCAAGAGAACTGGACAGAATTCCTGGCTCCTGGCTGGGGCTGACCCAGCCCTGGCTGTTTGTGACTTTTGGGAAGTGAATCTGTGCATGGGAGGTCTCTTGTTCTCCATCTCTTAATCTCAGCTTTTCAAATAATAAAATAAATAATTTAAAGTAATCATAATAAAAACTGTCCATGCTATCCCTAGCACTGTCTTTTACTACTAGTGCACTCTTGTTGGATGCTGGGATTTCTTGCCAAGTTTCTTTAGTCCCTGTAAAGGTATTTTCACTCATGGGCAACTGTTCACATTAATGAGTCTTTGGGGTCTGATCACTGGGGAGTCCTATTCTATGCTCTCACTTCCCCTCCTCTTCTAACCATGAAAGAAAATTCTGCCAGATTCAATGTAAGATAGAAACGTGTGTAGACAACAATTGGACCTTATTTTGCTCCCAGTCATAACTGTCCGTTAATTTTTTTAAACAAAGATTTTTATTTATTTGAAAGACAGAGTTACACAGAGAGAGAAGAAGAGGCACAGAGGGGAGGGGGTCTTCTATCAGCTGGTTCACTGCCCAATTGGCTGCAATGGGTACTACTCAATGGTAATTGACAAATGTAATCCCTATCAAAACTGCAATGACATTTTTAGTAGAAACCTTTAAAAAAAGTCAATTGGGAAAGTCGTATGGAATCTGAAGAGACCCTAAATAGCTAAGACAAACCCAAATAAGAACAAAACTGAAGGCCTCATATTGTCGGATTTTGACAGAAGGACCAGTGGAGTAGCATACACAGC